TATTTATTTATTTGACAGAGAGAGAGACAGCGAGAGAGGGAACACAAGCAGGGGGAGTGGGAGAGGGAGAAGCAGGCTTCCAACCGAGCAGGGAGCCCGACGCGGGGCTTGATCCCAGGACCCCGGGATCATGACCCGAGCCAAAGGCAGACGCTTAACGACTGAGCCACCCAGGCGCCCCGAGTCTTAATTTCTTATTTATAAATAAGTTGGATCAGTTGGATGAAAAAGTCACTAAGGAAAAAAAAATACATTAACCTTATGTCTGTAAACATACTGCTACCTGAAACTCTGAGAAGAAAAAAGCATTTACCATGAAACTATGTAATAATTCTATACTGTTTCACTGGAAAGGCTTCAAAGTAATAGCTCTGTAAATTCACTTTTGCCACTACAAAAGCAATACATTTTAAGTGAAAAACATCTTCTACTTTCCTAAACATAAAAATCACTATTAAAATACTAGCTTCTAAATGATAGTCTGAAGGAAAACTTTTTCCACCACATCAGAATTCAGAAGTGACAGACACAGGAACTAGACTGATAGCAATTCAACTATCTCCTTTTACTGACCAAGCTACAATGGAACGACTAATTTAGACCTAGGCCAGTGGGGTTCCTACCACCATACCCCTTAATTATCCTAAACCAGTCACAGATAGCACTGGACAACTGATGGTCCTCCAAAAAGGCGCAGAGTCTATCATGGTGGCCTCAAGAAGCAGAACAAAGTGCTTTCTGCAGGGGGCAGACTTCCAAAGAGAAAGAGAGAAAGGAGGCTAAGTCAAACTCTTTATCAGTTCCTTCTTACAAATTCATCCGGCAAGAGTCAAGTGGGACAACAGGAGCCAAGTCAGACTGTTTTTAATGCCTTAAAAACAGCAAGAAATCTAATACATCACAAACCAATTTATTAGTTATTAGTACAATTTTTATATTAATCACACACGTCAGTAAAACAGCCACAAACTGCAAGCCAAAGCCATACGAGATACACTCAGTTATTTAAAATCCTAAATCTTAAGAACATGAAAAAAATACCGATTATTTTGCTATGTTAGAAATCCAACAAATTTAAAGGTCATTGAATTAGGCAGTATGGAGAACTTGAGTCCAGGAGACAGGAACCAACCTCCACTTAAAATTATGAAGATCTTGTCAATGTCTATAAAAACAAAACTATCTGGTCACTGACCAGATTGGATTTGGATGTCAGACCTGGCCCAAATCTCTATTATAGTTACTTCTAAGTACCTACACAGGAAGACAAATTATTTCAACACCAGAAAGATTTATAAACAAGTATGGAAGGTTTAAGAGAAACAAAATCCTAGTATTACCTTTGTTGAGACTGCATAGTTTGGCTTACCTAAGAAAAACTGGTCTATTAAAGTGTACAACCTTGTAAGACCAATTTAAATATGGCAGTAATTTAGACTTTTAAGTTGAAATCTTACTAAATATTAAAACATCTAAGGGAACTTCGCACTCAAATTAACTATGTATAAAAATTAAAGTTTAAATTTTCTTGAAAATGTTCAAGTTTGTTAATAGCAAATCTAACTTGAAGATTAAATAGCCAGACTTGTACAAATAAGAAAAAAGAACTTCTTAAAAGCTTAAGAACCAGGACTCTGAAATATAACTGATTTTTTAAATCAGTGTAAACCTTTAGTGGGTACAAAAAACCGCCCTTCAGGACACCAAAGGACAATTCTACAAAACTTAAGTTCACCAAAATTTGAACTTTAAAAGACATTCATGCAAAAGGGAATTATCAACAACTATTCACGCTGCCTCTGCAGATGAAACAAATCATCTTTAAAAAGAAACCAATTAAAAATATTTGTCCTACGATTCTTAGCCAGAATTCCTTAAATCGTCCTGCGATACTCCAGGTCACATGGTGAGTCACCTATTAAACACGAAATCTAAGCAGTAAACAAGCTTTTAAAATCCTTAGGTAACTCCCTTTATTAAAATTGTTTTTTTGATATACCTTTACAGATACTGTATTTCTCGTAAGCGTTTAAAAGCATTTGTCTAATAAAGGTTTCCCTAAAAACCTTTACCGAAAAAAACCTATCACCAGTTTTATGTTAAAATCTCACAAACTCCGAAATCCTGACTTTAACTGACATGATTGTCTTATTACACCTAATATGCTCGCAATATTAACCCCCAGAAGGTTTAAATATGTGTTAGAATGAAAAACGAAGTTAAGAAAAATGGGTTTTCCCTAGCTGTGTTCTAACTTTTACAGGCGTTTGGGAATAAAACTTCAAACAATTATTCCAAAATTTGGCCCAATTCAGACACAAAACTATTGCTAAAATGCCTGAAGCTTCTAATCTTTTCTTTCGTTTTAATTTATACACCTGAGTGTCGAAATCTGTTCCGGTAACAGAAACATAACATTCCTTAATAATGGCACCTAACGTGTCTAACCCAAGTCGCTGTTTCTTTCATACCCACACCTGTCTGCCGAAAGCTTTTCCCGGACACACTCGGGTCCCCGAAAATTCCCACACTTGTTTTCATAAACCCACTCCTTCCTCTTCACCCACTTCCAACTCGCACACTTCTCTGGATCTACCGGCCTCTCCCCTCTTAATGACCATGGGCTAAACGGACAGCTCGGTCCCTAACCCCAAGCGCCGAGAAACCCAGGACTAGTGGGGTGGGTCCCCCAGCGCCGCAAGGCAGTGGCGTGGGGGAGGAAAGGAAGCGGGAGAGCCGAGCACCCCCCCCCGAGCCGGGCGCACACCCCCTTCCGGCACCCCTCCCCCCGCATTGTGCGAGCGGGCCCCGGGCCCCAGGCCGCAGCCTTCCCGGGCTGCCGCAGGCCCCGTCCGCCCTCCCGCCCTGCGGGCTGCTCCCGCCGAGACCGCCACACAAAGCCCGGGAAGCCAGCTCCTGCGGCGCCAGAGCACGGGGAGAGGGAGCAAAGGCGGACTGACTTACGGGGCTGCTGCGGCCGCGCTGCCTCAGCCGGGGACACCGACCGTTGGGCACACGGCGGCGTCGCTCTTGGCCGTCCTTCCCTCCTCCGCCTTCGGTGGCGGCAATATCTTCTTTCTCCACCTACCTCCCTCCCCCCCACCCCACCTCCTCCTTCTCCTCCCCCTCCTCCTCCGAACCACCGAAGTACCGAGGGTGAGACACAGAGACTCACAACAACATGGCTGCCACCGCCGCCTCCCCTCCCCTCCCCCCCCGCCCACCGGGCGCGCGCAAGGCACTCCGGGAGAAAGGGGAGGGGGAGCACTCACCGAGGTGCGGCTCCTCTCAGTGGCTTCCGTCGCTTCTCCCGCGCTCCGGGCGCCGGCCGGCGGGAGCTCTGCGCGTGCGCACGCTCTCTGCGCTCGCGCGTTTCGGCCACCCCTCAGGCGTGTGCTCCCCCACCCTCACCTTGCGGGCTCGCCGCTGGTTCTGGGCTCGGCGGCGGCGCCAGACGGGGACGCTCGCCTGAGTTCGGGCGGCGCAGGCGTGGTGTCGCCGAGCACCGCGTTCGCCTCTGTCTTCCCGCGTGGGGCCTCGACTTCCGAATTCGCTTACCCTCCGCTTCCTCCCCGGTAGCTCATTGTTCTCCGCCAACAGCCTGTGCGGGTGTCATTGCGCTTGACCGCGCGGTACTCGAACTTCGCTTCTGGGGTTGCTGGCACCCACAGGAGCCAGACAGTAATCCAGGCCCTTAGGTTTCATCCTCACCCTCTCCCCGCAGCAAGACGATGGAGACGCATTTTGGGTGGAAAAGGGAACCCCTTACGTGGACTGTCATTCTAGTCGTTGCCTCCTGGGCAAGTGGAGCCAGCTCAGCACATTGCTTGGCCGGGGTAAACACAAAGGAGATTCAGGTCGTTCTACTGGGCTAGTGATTCTCGCTCGCCGCGGATTTTCATCACCCGCGCTCGCCAAGGGCACCCGCCCTGTCCGGCCCCCCATCCCCCACCCCCAGCAGTTAGAGACCAAACCCGCGCTGCCGTCCTGGCTCCGTGGCTTTGGTAGTGGTGATTACAGGCTTGAGACCCAACCGTAGTGTGCCCCTGTCACACAGCTGTAATGTGGTAGGGGCACCGGCAATGTGTCCACCTTGTTCTCCATGGTTTGTACAACTCGGACATTCTGTATTTCTGAAACGGAGTGCCTTTTAATTTATCTTCCTGGGCGACTGTAAGCTCCACGAGGGGCTGCAGGGAACATGTGTGTTTTGTTCACGCAGGTGTGTTGTGTCCCCCAGGGCTTGGGCCATAGTAGTGTTAAACAATCATATGCTGAATGCCTGAGCTTTTCGGTTTTTAATTATTATCGAAAATGTGTGACATTTGAATCTGTCTCAAGCCTTTACGTGTGGCCCACATTCCAGGCTTCTAGATATTTCCACTTGAATATTCTTCCCGGCACCAAACAAAAACAACTTACACCCATCCCCCACCCCCAATTCTTGTATTATCTCAACAGTTGATAGTGCCATGACCTATTGAGTACCCCAAGTTAGTCCTTTGAGGCTTCCTTGTCTTTCTCTTATACCTCTCTCCCCATATAGGATTTTCACTTCCCAAATATTTCTGGAGAGTTTTTCCTCGTGTATCCTCATTAATACTAGCCTTGCATCCCAGGTCTTGATTTCTATAGCAGGCTCTTAATTAGCCTTCTTGTGTTCAGTCTTGTTATCTCTAGTCAGTTCAGCTCCCTGCCATCTAAAATGAAAATCTGATTCCTGGCTCTCTTGCCTCTCCTCTAGCCATTCCATTGCTTCCTGTCACCCACAACTGCATTTCCCAAGTATGTTCTGTTCAATACTAATAGATGTTCCTTCAAGAAATGTCTCATGATCAAGTAAGAATGGAAGACACTGGGATGTACATATGTTGCCTTCTTCCCCTTCCTTTGGGCTGATAATAGCTGAAGAGTTTTTATGTACAGTTGTTTAGTCTGGGTGAAAATAGATGGAGCCATCAGAAGCCCTCCCTCAGAATGTGGAATTGGGATTAAGAGACCCCAATCTCCCTCTGAGAAGTCTCTTGAACCTGGCATCTCTGGGCTGATTTGTCCCACAGTGTGGACAGGGAGCCCATAGAGAAAACTTGAGTTGAGAGAGAAAAGGGGAGTCCTAATAATGCCTCTCTTTCCCTTTGTTCCTGTACCTTGCTAGCTGCATCTACCCTTGGATTCTGTTTTGTTTTTTTTTTTTTAAGATTTTATTTATTTATTTGACAGAGAGAGACAGCGAGAGAGGGAACACAAGCAGGGGGAGTGGGAGAGGGAGAAGCAGGCTTCCCATGGAGCAGGGAGCCGGATGCAGGGCTCAATCCCAGGACCCCGGGATCATGACCCGAGCCGAAGGCAGACGCCCAATGACTGTGCCACCCAGGAGCCCCTACCCTTGGATTCTGAAACACATACCTGGATCATTATAATAAATTCTGCTTTTTTTGCTTAAGCTTAATGAAGTGAGTTTTTGTTACAACCAAGAGTCCTTACTAAAAGCTGTGTGAACACCATCATTATTATTTATTTAGTGCTTGCAGTATGTAAGCTTACAGTATAATAAGCTTTGGTGGTGGTGATTCCAGGCTTGAGACCCAACCGTAGCTTTGGTAGTGATGCTTACACTATGTAAGCACTAAAGCAGTTTCCACACATTGTTTCATTTAATGCTCCCAATATCCCCATGAACAGGGCAGCTTCACAGGCACGTGACCTGCAGTCCCACAAGGCCTGAAGCTTTAGAAGCCTTCCACAATTGGTTTAATGCTCTGTCATTGTCATCTAGAAAATCCTAAGTTTTTGGAAAAGATAAATTTTCATTTTGCACTGGGCTCCACAAATTATATAACCTGTACTGTTTGTGAGGTATTTATTTGACAAAAGTTTTCTTAGTATCTTTAAAATCAAATTATGCATAGTAAATATCCAAATGAGGGACATAGCGTACAACACTTCCCAAACAAATTTGACTCTAAAAGACTTTTTTTCATGCTAAATCTCTTAGAGGCTTTATGCTCTGCAGAATACAGATCAAAGTCCAACCCTTCAGGGATCTGACTCTGCCTACCTCCAGCTCCTGATTCACCCTGCACGTGAGCAGTTTCTTGCTTCTGTGCCTTCATACACACTTTGCAATCTGGCTTTGCTCATTAGGCACCTTCTGATTATAATTGGCTTCTCTTGTATATTCACCTACAAGGAAAGAATGCATTCCTCAGCTACTGTAAATATCAGGTGTGCTTGATAGTTAAGGTGGACATTGTAATTGATGCCTGACAGCCATTCTAATCACCTGGGAGCTTGTTAGAAATGCAGAATCTTGGCCCCACTCCAGACCTACTGAATCAAAATCTGCATTTTAACAAGATTCCTGGGCAATTCCTCTACATAATAAAGTTTAAGAAGCGTTGGTAAACCAATCAATAATTCCATCTCACTTGATAGGAACTGGTTCTGTAGTGGATTCATTTAGAGCCTGTGGGACACAAATACCTGCCAACTCAGAGCATCTCGGGGGGGAAAAGCCAGGCTCTTTCTCCTTCTGGATGTAAACAAGAAAGCATCTTGGCCCCAGTTCGTGCTGACAGGCATCCTATCTGCTAGTAGCCCACCCAGAATATTCATTCTCCCTGTCTTCTTTAGTAACAGATCCTCTGGATGTCCCTGTGGGCTGGAAAAGGCATAGGGTAGAATGAGGAGCCCGACTTCCAGCAACACACATTGCATTTTAGGAATGTGTCTTTATGGCTTGTTGAGACAAGTGGTTCTCAGCCAGAGTTGCCCATCAGAATCTCCTGGGTGAATATTTGAATTATATCATTCTCAGGTCCCATCCCAGAGATTTTGATTGAATGGTTCTGGTCTGGCTGAAGCCTGGATATGGATATTTTTAAGTACATTCCCTGGTGGTTATAGCATGTAGCCATTGCATACCACTAGTTTAGACAGACCACATCTTAGAGCATAATGTCATTTTAATATTCCCTATGAAAATGTCTCTTTCCACTGGGACTGCTAATGAAATTTCTTGTAAACTCTTTTTACAAATTTGTTGTTTTTATAAAAATTTCTTTTTTTTTTTAAGATTTTATTTATTTATTTGACAGAGAGACAGCGAGAGGGGGAACACAAGCAGGGGGAGTGGGAGAGGGAGAAGCAGGTTTCCTACTGAGCAGGGAGCCCATGCGGGGCTCGATCCCAGGATCCTGGGATCATGACCTGAGCTGAAGGCAGACGCTTAACGACTGAGCCACCCAGGTGCCCTCTAAAAATTTCAAGAAATAAAAGTTCAAACCATCCCAATTTCAATATCACAGAAACACTAATATCCACATGTGGTGAACAGCATTATTACAAGCATAAATACAGAGAGAAGGACAGATGGAGAGCTACATAGGGTAATGGACAGGAATAGGCTCAGTTTGCACATGCTATTTTTATTTTATTATTTTATTTTTATTTTTTATATTTGACAGAGAGACATAGCGAGAGAGGGAACACAAGCAGGGGGAGTTGGAGAGGGAGAAACAGGCTTCCCCACGGAGCAGGGAGCCCAATGTGAGGCTCGATCCCAGGACCCTGGGATCACGACCTGAGCCGAAGCCAGACGCTTAACGACTGAGCCCCCCAGGCGCCCCAGCACATGCTCTTTTTAAAATACAGCGTTGAACTTAGTCTTACTTGGATTTAACAAAAGAACTGAAAGAACTGCTCAGATGCATGTTTCTTCATTGTAAGAGAGATTGATTCATAAAAGGTTTCTCAAAGGTTAAAATGATAAAAAAATCATAATAGGATGGAGGGACTTTTTCAACTATGTGCTTCAATACTGCTCAGTAGCGAGTTCCCTGCTATCTTCCTTGTACTTCCTAATTTTGGGATCATATTATTTTTCACTTTGTCAGGGTTTATAATACTTACATTCTATTTTTTTTAAGATTTTATTTATTTATTTGAGAGAGAGAATGAGAGAGAGAGAGCATGAGAGGGGGTAGGGTCAGAGGGAGAAGCAGACTCCCTGCCAAGCAGGGACCCCGATGCGGGACTCGATCCCAGGACTCCAGGATCATGACCTGAGC